CAGGGGCATAGCAGAGGGGGTATTAATCTAGTACCCTAAAAAATGCCCCTGCTAAGAAAGAGAAACAACTTTGATTGGTAAATGTGACAACTGTAGTAAAATGGCATGGGCTGTAAATCCAATACAAAATCAAACATCATTTGTATCTAACCACTTAACCACTTCATAATAAGAATCAACACTAAACCATATTATTTAGAGCATTCCCTTCAAAGCAACCATTGTTGGGGAAGAAAAGAGATTCAAAATTCTAACCTATTGTTTGCTTGCATTTCCTTGTAAGTCGCATCAAATACTGGACTACATCCTTACTGGAAGCATCTTCTGCCAATGACTACAAATTAAACATCAATTGATTAACAAATAATCTTCAATACAGCATCAAATAAATATTAATTTTCCCACTTCTTATCAATTACCGATTACTATATAGCTCTTTGTTCGTTACTTGTACGCATTTCCATTTACATATGATTATTGCCTATGCTTATTCGTAAAAAATCAAGTTATACCTCTTGGCCAGTTCCTACCTAAAGCTGCTGACCTGTAGCCAGTCCTTACCTAAATCTCTTAACCAGTTCCTACCTAAAGTTCCTGACCGTTGCTATGTTAGTCTTTGCCAGTCCTTTACTAAACCTGTTGGCCAGCTCCTTGCTCCCTTAGCTTTTGCCAGTCCTTTTGCCTATGAACTTCTTAGCCAGTTCCTACCTAAACCCCCTGACTTGTAACCTCTTGGCCAATTCCTACCTAAAGCTCCTGGGGCAGATTGCTATAAAATGGTCTTAACTGGTAGTCTTAACTTCTGGAATAAAGCCGGCTCTATCACGTAGACATTCTTACTAAAGTCATTCATCAAAGACCATTGCTATAAAACAGTCTTCCCTAAGACCGCTTTGAGTATTGAAATGCAAACAAGCACTCCCTGGTAACGTAAGATTGAGGGCAATGTCATGCATGCTCGAAATGAACGTAAATAAATGTATCGAAATGAACGTAAATAAACGCAGACCTATTTTCACAGATGCTAAGAAGCGTGCAGAATATTCGTCGTTGGATTCTCTGACTTCGACGATCTAGGCCTAGGTCTTGCCATTGCACAATTAAATTAATCAGTAGAACGCCATGATGAAAATGATTTAAGACCGTTTTAAGCCTCCTCCGAGTAGGCTTTAAAATTTAAGACGGCTAACTGGTTAGACAGCGGTATAGCAATGGTCTATAATCATAGACCGGTAGTGGCGTCACGATTATAGCCAGCTAACCGTTAAGACCATCTAAAGACCGCTTATAGCAATCCACCCCTGACCTTTCTATATCTTAGCTTTTGCGAGTCCTTACCAAAACCTCTTGGCCAGTTTCCACCTAAAGCTCCTGACCTGTCTCTATCTTAGCTTTTGCCAGTCCTTACTTAGCCAGTTTCTACCTAAAGTTTCTGACCTATCACTATTATTTTTGCCAGTCCTTAACTAAACCTCTTGACCAATTCCTACTGAAAGCTCCTGACTTCTACCTTAAGAAATGTTGAGAGTAAGAACAGTGAAGTAAAAATACTATGATCTTATAACAAACTGACAAACCTTTTTCAAAATGTCAGTGAGAGGTGTGGTAATATCTTGGTTACTCAACTGCTGGGCATTTGGCAATACATCGAAACCACGACTTGATGATTCTATAATATAAAAAAGCAACATCAGATACTGTACTGTTATACATGAGAGCCCAAACCTTAGCCAAGGCCTCAAGCCTCTTAATTACAACAATGAGGCTGTGGTAGTTTTTTTTTCTTTTGTTATTTTTCTTTTCTCTTCTCTTTATATCTAAAAAGGTTGTCTGCATTAAAATTATCTTGATTATTTGTATGCACAAAAAATATATGTATTATATTCATATGCTGCTGATTGGTAAGATATCTATTTTGTAATCTCAAAGCTATTTTATTTGCTCTTTTGACGAGCAAATAAGTTATCTCATGAAAAACAATACACTTTTAGCCAATTATAATTATTCAAGTATCATAATTAATCAATCATCAATCATTATCACTTGACTCACCCAAACTATTAGTCCTAGTTTTATGTCGAACAGCCTCTTCTACTCTAACAACAGTTACAGACCCATCAAAAATCTTTGGTCCCTCAACTACGACAGGCTTCTGGGATGGTTGAGTAGGGGTCACTATCACCTCATTCGTTTTGCTAAACAGCATTAATTATAATAACGATTACTAATAACAACAATAACAATGATGACAATAGTAAATGTAAAGGAAAAACTGAAATATATATTTCAAACAGTATTCCAATCACTACCAATAAAATTCTCAATAATTAAATTGTTGTTATTATAAATATATTAATATAAAATGCAACCTATTATTATAATTATCATTTAGCTATTTTTGTTATTACCTTCCGGATGGGCTTGTCACAAACAGCCTATGATGCTAGGCCTAGTTTGGTGGATTGAGCGGATCGACTGCAAGCCATTATTTTTTCAGTACATAAATAGGGTGCAACAGGGCAAGGGTTTGTAACCTCAGACTATCTTGTTATTACTGTTAATATTTATTATTATTTCATTAATATTGTTCATTCTGTAGCTTCATCACAATACCTTTCACTCCGATCATCTGGCGCTGGTATTGGCGGTGGCATCGGGGCAACTCGTCCTTCTCTCCTCCTCGAAGGGCGTTTCTTCGCTGCCTCTTGGGCAGCTAAGATCACATCCATCCACGCTTGCCTCTTAATAGCTGTGGCTGCAACCAGCTCGTAGATTTGCGGTCCAGTTATTTGTGTACTGACTAAGAAAAATGCCTTTTTGTCTGCAGGAAGACAGATATAAGAATTAATTATTGACTGCTTTATCGCAGCATAACTAACTGCCCTTGAAGGGCGAAGTAGAAAGTTTACATAATAGTATAAAATGAGGGAAGAGATAAATTGTCCTATTTTAGATTATATTAGCGAATAACTGCTTTTCCCCTCAATAATAATTCGTTTGTTGTTCACCTAGTGTGAAATTAAAAAAATAATTACAATAAACAACAAGAATACAAGCTTACTTGTAGCTACATTCCGACAAAGAAGTGTGGCCAGCTTGACAATCGGGCTGTGTGTATTCCGCACATCATCGCCACGTTGCACCGTCATACTGTGACATTTTAATACGTATCGCTCATCTTGCTTTTGTAACAAGACAAGAATATCATCAAGTAGAAGAACATGTAAATCTAGAAAATGAAAAATATATAAGATTTTGCTTAATATATTAAAAAATCAGATGAAATATTTATAATTAATTTGGTAAATCTGTGCTAACTCTTAGCCTGCAGTGCCCTAGATTTGGGTCAATATTCCATTTGCCTATCTGAATAGGCAATTCTGATTAGATTTGACAACTCACCTAATTTTTTTGTTTTTCCTATTTTCCATGTTAAGTCGCCATAATGTAGTAACTTCCGACTCGTTATGTCAATATTCTGTAATAAACAAAACAAGGGTCACCAAATGAAACATACAAAACACAAATACACAAAAAAAATCCCAAATGAATGGAATTTAAATCTATTAAATTTGTTCATAAATTTGTTGTATATTTGCCTCAATTTTTCTTCTACTTAAGCTTTCCACTATTTTGTATCATTTATTTTGGGAAGGGAAGGATTGTTTGTTAGGGATGTAACAATAATAATACTATGTTTACAATTGGACCTTCCAATTACCTTGTATTCTTGTACAATCGGATTGCTTGACCGGTCCAGAGGTGAAGTGTCCATCCTCCGACTGATCTCATTCAGTTTCTGTTGGTTTTCGCACTCTTTCACAGCTTGGTTTACATAGCCAAGCACCTGCTTACTGCATTCTAGTGACTTCTGCAATTTCTCAGCTTCAGGACTAGAAGCTAATATTTAAAAAAAAAAAAAAATTTCAAGGTATTTTTTTTCTTACTTGTGAAGCTTGCTTCAATAAAATTACTACAAGCTATCACCGGCAGCTGACGGTGATGCTGATTGGTCAGTCAAATCCAGGAATGTTCCCAATAAATCTTTCCGTTAAGCTTCGCTCCCTGGATATTGCTGCTAAGGTTCACAATCAATAACGTACGCAAGCACGTTCTTTTGTGAGACGTGCACATATTCCTAGCACACGTCTGATTGGTCAGTTAAGTTTGATTAATAAGAGCCAAAAGCAGATTATACATTTTTAGTCAACATTTTTAGACACCATGTCATGAAGGCTTCATGTCTCAACGATTACACTCAAATGTTGTAAGACTTTCACCATGGTTCAGCGTACACACATACAAGCACGCCATACGCATAGGTCATAGGTTGTTGATACACTATGCTGGTCTTATACTTACATTGCGTGTACTTTAAAAGATTCTCTATAAGTAGTGGATACTTCGTGATTCTTTGATATACAATGGAAATGATGCCTGGGAATGGTAGTCGTCTACATAAATGATTTGACTCAGCTTCCTAAAAAAACAACAAAATAAAGCAAGAAAATGTTATAAATGTTAAACTACTGTAATTATATTGTTGAAAAAAATTTAAATTGCTTTCCCTTAATATGTAAAATAATATAATTAATGAAAACATAATTGTTCCTGATCTGTCTCATTGTTGATAACCTATATTTTTTTTCAAATTTGACTGCAGACAGATTAAATAAAGAGGGAATGGTAGTCGTCTACATAAATGATTTGACTCAGCTTCCTAAAAAAACAACAAAATAAAGCAAGAAAATGTTATAAATGTTAAACTACTGTAATTATATTGTTGAATAAAATTCAAATTGTTTTCCCTTAATATGTAAAATAATATAATTAATGAAAACTTAATTGTTCCTGATCTGTCTCATTGTTGATAACCTATATTTTTTTCCAAATTTGACTGCAGACAGATTAAATAAAGAGGGAATGGTAGTTGTCTACATAAATGATTTGACTCAGCTTCCTAAAAAAACAACAAAATAAAGCAAGAAAATGTTATAAATGTTAAACTACTGTAATTATATTGTTGAATAAAATTCAAATTGCTTTCCCTTAATATGTAAAATAATATAATTAATGAAAACATAATTGTTCCTGATCTGTCTCATTTTTGATAACCTATATTTTTTTTCAAATTTGACTGCAGACAGATTAAATAAAGAGGGAATGGTAGTTGTCTACATAAATGATTTGACTCAGCTTCCTAAAAAAACAACAAAATAAAGCAAGAAAATGTTATAAATGTTAAACTACTGTAATTATATTGTTGAATAAAATTCAAATTGTTTTCCCTTAATATGTAAAATAATATAAATAATGAAAACTTAATTGTTCCTGATCTGTCTCATTGTTGATAACCTATATTTTTTCAGATTTTACTGCAGACAGATTAAATAAAATTTTGGGCAAATTAGGCCTATTGACCTGAACCTGGCAACTTACCATCATAAACTGAGCTACTTTTGTGTCCTTTGCTTGCTTTGCTTTTAGATTCTCAAGCGCTGCCGCTTGATTTTCACAAAACGTTGCACAAACCTTTCGCATTCTTTCACCTTCTGCCCCATCAAACTGGATTCAAAAACACACAGTAATTATCATTTACAAGATTATTTTATCAATAATGAAATAATTCTCACAATGACACTGAAGGAAACACTAAACATTAAAAAAAAATCCTACAGCGCTTGAACACAGAACCTATAGTTTGGAAGATGGCACAATGAAGACCAAATCATATTTATTTACCAATAATTAATAATAATTAATAATAATAATTGATATTATATACCTATTATATTCTGGGCATCTGAATGGTTAAGAAGAGGGCAATAGAAAGTACTATTCCCCACAAAAAGTACTATTCCCCTGAAAAATAGTACTTTTTTGCCCTGTCACATGTGCAAACTCTAGGCTCACTTAACATTGCGCTGACGGTAAAGGGGCAATAAAAGCTTGCTACAAGTTATACCTGCCAAATTTGCTGGCATCTGATGCACAAGACAAAAAAAAAGAATTACATATTGCCTTCTATGCAAAAAATCACAAAATATTGTGCACTATGTTTTTTTTTTTTTTTTTATTGTATTGATCGAACTGCTACTGATTACAGTCTTCGGTTGGTAAAAATTTGTTAAAATACATTTATAATGCCTGTATTTATGTTTTAATGACAAATTCACTCCATTTTTAGGAATTTTTTATGTGCGAGATAATAAAACATAGGCGTAAAAAGTGGATGCCCAAGAAGCGCGAGACTTGCGCATTATGCGTGGAAGTTGACAGGTGTAACAAGTTAACCTGCAAAGTTTATAAAAAAAAACTAATTTACAGTCACACCTACCTTGTTTAACAATATATCCCCGACTTCTTCAATTACATTATTGCTAGAGGCTTCTTTGTGCTTTTTCATTGCATTATTAAGCGATGTATGCACCTCAATTAAGTCTGGTAGATTTGGGAAAATGAATTTAATCTCTTGGTCCAAGATATGCTCTGCTTGCATTGGACGAAAAAACACACGATCTAAGACTTTCAGACCCCGAACATGTGTCCTCTCAGTGTGGAATAATTCTATAAAGAAATCAAATATGAATTTACAAAACAATATTTAACTTATTCTGACTACCAATATATTCATATAAAGTGTCATGAATAATAGTTTTAATAAAACCACAAAAAGCAAGTGTTTTTCCCATATGTGATTCTAATCATTTTTAATTAGTCCGCATCCATCGTTTCATGTCAAGGTCTTTCATCAACCTAGCATATTAAAAAATTAGTAGGTTCCAGAAGAGAATGAATATCTGTCTCTTATACACATCTAGATGTGTATAAGAGACAGGAGCTGAACCTGGCAACTTACCATCATAAACTGAGCTACTTTTGTGTCCTTTGCTTGCTTTGCTTTTAGATTCTCAAGCGCTGCCGCTTGATTTTCACAAAACGTTGCACAAACCTTTCGCATTCTTTCACCTTCTGCCCCATCAAACTGGATTCAAAAACACATAGTAATTATCATTTACAAGATTATTTTATCAATAATGAAATAATTCTCACAATGACACTGAAGGAAACATTAAACATTAAAAAAAAATCTTACAGCGCTTGAACACAGAACCTATAGTTTGGAAGATGGCACAATGAAGACCAAATCATATTTATTTACCAATAATTAATAATAATAATTGATATTATATACCTATTATATTCTGGGCATCTGAATGGTTAAGAAGAGGGCAATAGAAAGTACTATTCCCCCTAAAAAAGTACTATTCCCCTGAAAAATAGTACTTTTTTGCCCTGTCACATGTGCAAACTCTAGGCCCACTTAACATTGCGCTGACGGTAAAGGGGCAATAAAAGCTTGCTACAAGTTATACCTGCCAAATTTGCTGGCATCTGATGCACAAGACAAAAAAAAAGAAGTACATATTGCCTTCTATGCAAAAAATCACAAAATATTGTGCACTCTATGTTTTTTTTATTGTATTGATTGAACTGCTACTGATTACAGTCTTCGGTCGGTAAAAATTTGTTAAAATACATTTATAATGCCTGTATTTATGCTTTAATGACAAATTCACTCCATTTTTAGGAATTTTTTATGTGCGAGATAATAAAACACAGGCGTAAAAAGTGGATGCCCAAGAAGCGCGAGACTTGCGCATTATGCGTGGAAGTTGACAGGTGTAACAAGTTAACCTGCAAAGTTTATAAAAAAAAAAACAAATTTACAGTCACACCTACCTTGTTTAACAATATATCCCCGACTTCTTCAATTACATTATTGCTAGAGGCTTCTTTGTGCTTTTTCATTGCATTATTAAGCGATGTATGCACCTCAATTAAGTCTGGTAGATTTGGGAAAATGAATTTAATCTCTTGGTCCAAGATATGCTCTGCTTGCATTGGACGAAAAAACACACGATCTAAGACTTTCAGACCCCGAACATGTGTCCTCTCAGTGTGGAATAATTCTATAAAGAAATCAAATATGAATTTACAAAACAATATTTAACTTATTCTGACTACCAATATATTCATATAAAGTGTCATGAATAATAGTTTTAATAAAACCACAAAAAGCAAGTGTTTTTCCCATATGTGATTCTAATCATTTTTAATTAGTCCGCATCCATCGTTTCATGTCAAGGTCTTTCATCAACCTAGCATATTAAAAAATTAGTAGGTTCCAAAAGAGAATGAATATTGAATTCATTTCATACTTTTTTGATAACCTAGATTTATTGTTTATATGCCTTGACATAGGCATATAATAGTAATAATAATAGTGTAGTTTTATATAGCACATATCCATCTAACATAAGACGCTCAGGGCGCTTGATATGTGGACTAGGAACTCGATCAATACTCAAAATATGTACTTAAAACTAGCAGATGGTTTATTATTAGAGAATGAAACAAAAAATGCTAACATTCTAAGCACATAGTCTTGCCATAGGTTGTGATTTTATTTTCACTTTCCTTTATTTGTTTTTCTTTTACTGCTGTCTTTTCCGTTTTCAACCATATGCAGGGGCGGATCCAGAGATGTCCAAAAGAGGGGCCAGATGTCCAAAAGAGGGGCCTATGTCGAAAAGGGTGGGGGGGGGGAGAAGCGATCGAGAGACAACACTACCCTAGGGGGTCCAGGGAGCAAGCCCTATATATTCTGGTTTTGTTCATTTCTGATGTCCTGGAAGGTGTGACAAATGGCATATGCGCTATACAAGTTCACAACCACTGACCATTGACCATGCAGCATAGTACCTCATTCATAAATAGAGGATAAACCCATTGATTGTTAAAATGTAATATAGTAACCAAAAAATAATAAATTTTTTTAACTTACCATTTATAATTTCTTGCCTTTTGATATCTTTAGATTTCATTTTCTTCAGAAGTTCTTTACTAACATTGTCTTGCCAATTGGGGATCACATTCTCTACATCCAAATCTGAATCGTCATTATCTTCGTGTCGGAAGGTCGTCTCACACGATGAAAATAGTGAATCATGGCTTCTATATAGACATAAAATAAAATAATTTTTAGTAAGAGACTATCCATCTTTATTTGACAAGAACTTGTGACATACCTAAATATGGCCATGACATTACATCATGACCATATATAGGCACATCATGACTATATATGGGCATACAAAACAGTTTTCGGTCAAAGAAAATTTGATAGTGTGGACTGAACTTCAAAATGGATCTGTAAGAAAATGGGGAAAAAACAGAGAAAATAAAAACAAAAAAGTGAAAAAGTTTAGTCTCATTGAAAGAAAGCATGCATATCATAAATCATATTTATGTAAAACTAGCTTATTAATGTAATTTGATGGTGTAATCATAAATATTAATTGAATAATTGTTAAAATATGAGAATGATTGTCATTGCTTCTATTGATGTTAACTGTTATTTATTTATTATACTTACTCAATTTACTTTTATTACTGATATAGGTTACTGCATTGTTGTTGAGATTATGATTATTGTGTTATCATTGTTGACGCTGACTATAACATTTATCACGTCTATTATATTTATTGACCATTGATACTGATAGATTTGTATAAAAACTGAGATTCATGAATAATGTGCTATTGTCTTTATTGAAGTATGTTGTAATATCTACAATATTTATTGACTGATGGATTATTGAGTTTGATACGTATTGAGGTTATGGACGTGCGCACAAGTCGAACACGATGCTAATAACGTGAATTTAACGTGAATTTCAATGTAAGTCTTAAGGACGGAAATATTTTGTAGAAGCAGTCTTTGTAAGATGGCATTAATTGTATGATATGCTTTACATTATTTGTTTGTTGTTAATTATCTTTTGTCCAGTTTGAAAATCCTGGCAAACTTGTAACATATATAAACAACTATATTTATAAGAATTATATAATCATGTCTATCATTTATAACAAAACATAAATCAAAAGTGAATATGAAGAAGTTGAGTAAAGATGATTGGATGCACAAGTACTAGATTCTTCCATTTCTTAAATTAAATCATTTTAATCAAATTAAATATTTTCTCCAGCACAATAAATTTGAAAATAACTTCTGAATTAAAATTTAAAATTTACTACATTAACAATAAAAGATTTTACATATTAAAAAATCATATATGACTATCAATAATTAGTTAAACAAAATTCCCCATAAATGTAATTGGAAGAGTCTAAATAATAGCACTGACCTGGTTGACATGCTTGATGATGATGAACACTGTGACATCATTGAATTTGCTTTCTCCGTGTCCAGATCAACATCACTATAAATAGATTACATCAACATTAGATTCATCCAAACACATTTGATAATACAATATTCAATAAATGTTTCTCCAAGCAGTTTTCCTGTATTAACAAAAATCTATTTGCATTACAACTTATAAACTATGTACTGTAGTGTAAAAATATGAAAGAGAAACTAAAATAACATAGAATATTTGTTATGATATTATACAATCATGAAAAACAGGAAAGTAACATTTATACGAGTAGGAACATACATACATATTATTTATCAACTAGAAAATAGCGGTTGAGATAGAAACAATGGAATAACAAGGTTGATGTAGTTGTTGTTGATTATTAATTAGTTATTATTAATGTCAAACTAAAAAAGATTCTGAATTAACCTTAACCTAACATGATATCATTACAATATTATATAGTTCAGAAAAAAATTTGATGGTAAAAATGACAGGCAAATTACCAAGGTAAAAGCATGTAGATTAGACCACGTAGAATACAGTATACCGTTTTGTTTTCAAAAGTCAAGGCCTTGCGTTACAAAAAGCAAGTAGACTGTGAATGAGCCAGCAAATCAAAAGCCCATAGCTTCGCATATAATTAAAATCCAGTTAAATGATTATGCTTGTAAGTAAGCTTAATAAGTTAATAAAAAAAACCCAATAATAATTATAATTAACTATTGGAATATATTTATTTAATATGTTATTATCTATTGAAGATAATAATGAAAAATTGAAAGTTAGCTGGTTTAAATACCAAAATAGATTTAATTTTTGTAAAACTTTAAAAATATTTCGATTTGAGTCTAAAATCAAATGAAATAGGAGACTAATTAATTCTGATAAAGTAATAAATCGATGGACCTTGAAATTTAATGGTATTATTTTCTGATTTATATATTTTCTATTTACTTTTTTTTATTATTCCAGTAACATAGTTTGTACCAATATATCAAATATAATATACAACAAAGTGTTCATATTTTCTAAACAATAACATGCAATGTTAACGACATTACAAAGATTGGGTACATACATGCAATCATGCTTATTATTAGCATATACATAGTTTGTGCACATAATTATCAAAATTACTATAATATGAATGTGTAACTACTATTAAACTGATGCAAATATTAAGTCCTACCATTATTCTCCTTATAATTATGTATTACAACTTTGTATATGTATCAACTAATCAAATTTCTTCTAATTTTAAATTTAAAGTTTCAATCCGTGATCAGTTTTGGTCGAGTAAAATAATAAAGAAAGACATAATGAGTTTAAATACTTTACTAATAGAATCAAATTTAAGAAATAAAACATACACATTTACTGATGTTTTTTGTAAAATTTCATAATTTTTTAAATTTATATTTTTGTAAATTCAATAATTTCAGCCATTGGCTACTTTTTGTATACGAAAACCTGAATAAAATAAAATAAAAAAATATTTATTATTACTTCCAGAAAACAACAATAACAATGATTAATGGCACAAAACACCTGTTTGTGAGCTTCAGGAACAAAAACATAAAATCATCAGGAGGGATTTAAGCTGTTAAGACAATGTTTGACGTGATCTAAGTGAAGATAAGTGAAGAATACCCCAAATAAAACAAGCTTTATACATTCATATGGTTTTAATGTCCAGGTAAATTCTTAGCATCAATATTTCCAAGTTATCAAGTGCTAAGCCTGTATTAGGCCACAAAAGGGGTTTGCAATACCTTTGAGATACCATAAAACCATTATAACATATAAAACTTATAGTATTCAATAAACATCAAAGCGATGACTTTGGATAATTAAGGAAACAAAAAAATGTGTGAAAGTGTATATATATTTGCATACATTTACATATATTTGCATATATAATAGACCATCAAGTGAGTGTAAAAACCAGACTTACTCCACAGATCGACAATGAGCACGGTCACTCGAACTTCACAGTAAAAAACAAACCAAAGGATAAAAATAATGCTATTAAGTGAGTATGCAAGCAACACCACATAACTACTATCTAAATTATTACATTATACTTTAGTTAATTCAAATCATGCACAAGTGACTACAAAATCTTAGTAGTAGATAGAGAAATTTATCAAACCAAAATCAGATTTCAAATATTTTTGAGATATCAAATATTAAAATAACAGATAAGTTATTATAAATTTCAAAATATTTAACACTTTTTTGAATTATTTATAAAAACCCAAAAAGATACCTGTTAAAGACATAATTATTTGTAGGGATGCATTAAAGTTGTCATTTGTGTATGGTATGTCTATACTGTTATTGTATAATTAAACATTCATGGTCTTAATGAATAATTTGACACTGAACTTCCAATAACCTAGTCCCAAGAAGTTAATCGTGTGCCAAGGTCAAGTAAAAAAAAAGTAGTTTCTTGTCCTAATATTTTGAAAAAAAGGAGAATGAGGCACAATTTGTTTCCATTTTTTTTTTACTCCGAGATGGCAAACAGCTAACTACTTTTTTACTTTTACCAAGCAGACACATTGAAAACAAATAAGAGAACTAGACATGATTCATACCATATGCATCCCCAACCATGAATGATAGAGAGGAATTTTACTGATGTGAGTTAGCCATACACTTTTGGTACATTTTGTAAAATAAATAAAAAAAAATTGGTAAGGCAGAGAAAAGGAATGCGCCAGGAGACGAGAAACTAGTATTTTTTTTTATTTGGCCTAATATATAACTGCGAGGTAAAGGCACAATAACAAATTTTATTATTTATTAAACTTCACAGAAAAAAACCTCCCTAACAATCAAAATTGATATACTATAAATATAAATGAGGGAAAATACAATACAAAAAAGTTACTCTTTACACAACATTGCTACAAATTACTTTATCTTAATTATATTACCATTATTATCATCATTAATGTTATTATCATTATTATTATTGTCATTATTACTATCTTTATTATTTTTACCACACACCATTATCATCATCATCTATGTGACTGTTGAATGGAATTTTGAGATTGTATTATGTGAGAGGAAAAACAAAACAGAGCAGAAAAAATTATTATCATTACAATTTAGTATTAAATCATTGCATGAACTATTCACATTATCATAAGCAGTCAGAAGTATAACTAAAATATAAGGTTAATACAATCAAAATAATATGTAAAAATGTATATTTCTGTGTAAGTTGTGGCATGAACGAATCTCTTAATATTGCCATGGCAACAGAGGTTCACTTATAATTTGTAATCTGGTTCTGGATTTGAACACATCAAAACCGTTGCATAACTGTAAAGTTTGAAGCAGACAGTGCATGTACGATCTACTAATGGACCGGTAACGTTCATTGCTGGATATATTACCGCACAACATATCCACGTTCGTTGCTTGTCATTACACCCCAATCTCATAATGGATATCGCAAAGTCAATCAATTTATAATTCTGATATGGTTTTCATCAGGTTGACGAAAAATTGTGCACGCTTCCATCCTCATTAATATTATCCTTTCGGAATGAAACTTCTTTCCTTTCGGAATGATGCACTGACTTGCCCGATCGAATTTGCAACTTAATAGCTTTGAGTAAGATCTTGTTCAATTTACAATATTAATTATTTTAATCATATTTATTATAATTAGAAAGAAAGTCATATTTCATATTTGATGCCAAATCTAAAGTAATTTTAGAATAATTAAGTGATTTAAAATAAAAAATATTACAGTATTTTAAAAATGTTTTTGAATGGAATTACGAAAGTAATATAATTATTAACATATTTATACATTTTGCTAAACTTAAATTTATTCTATATCCGTTAAGTAGGTCAGTAGTCAATTATAATGTTTCACTTATTTTAGCATTATCAATATTACATTGGTTCTTTTGTTTACATTCAGGTTTGTTTCTGTTCATATGTATCTTTTTAAGTTTAACTACTGCTAACTTTTATTTTCATTTCTTTTCTTTAAAGGTAGAATAAATAAATAAATAAATAAATAAATTTTGTATACCTATGTTAATTGATAATTAGAATGAGAAATTATATCCTCATCATTTAAAATATATATAAATAATACCATTTCTATATTCTTTACCAAAATCATTAAAAGGTTTATTAATCAATTTATTTTATATATTATTCTTTTAAAATTCATTCAATTGTTCTTTTCAATATTATTTTCTCTTTCCTAACTACTATTGAGCCATCAAGCTAATAATAAATGAGATAATAAAAATCAACGGTTACTAAAAAACGAGTAATATTATCATCACTATCGGAGGTAATAACCGCTTACTTACACGTGAATGTTATAGACAGGATAGCGCAATAAACCTTACAAGAATGACGGTAAAATGTCATGGATGCATTAGTGCAGTTATTTATGGTTACATGCAATTGAAAGGAAATTTTTGAAATACACTATAGCTAAGTGTAAATGATGAGGTATACAAAGTGAATGAGTGTAAGTGTGAATAATAAATGTATTTGATTGGACTGTTTAAAATAATAATCATGTTAAATAGGAGTGACAGTTAACAGCATAATATACCAAAAATAACGATTACTATTATTAATATTGCTATTATTAATATACTAACTTTCTAGCTCAATTTTAGTAGAAAGGTCTATGATATTCATCAACTTCAATCTCAATTTTATTATTTCATTTAACTAAACTTATATATTTTATCAATAATAATAAAGCAATATAGCTTACTGATAATAAAAAAACTAAATCACATTGTTAATAATTGCCAATTTATTTCAACTACAGTATTAATTAATTAATTAATTTTACCATTTCATATATATCACAGCATATTATTTTATATTGGCAGATATTTGGAAATTCCATTTCCAAAAAAGCAATTAATGTTTTCCTATGAGGTAACCAATGTTCAACTCTGTTAACTTTATGTCCTCTAAAATCTCCCAGATCAAACTGCCACCAGTTTTAAAATAAAAATCTGTATCTCATCAACCGCTCCCGATTTTTATGTCTTAGGAAAATCAGTTGTGCAACATATCAAAAGATTTTTTCGCCTGGAGCCTTATTTTAAGTGATATTCAACTTCAGATAAAAAAACAGTTTCTCATTAAGGATGCAAAAATTATGTGCATTTTCCATAACAAAAAACTTACGTCAGGCATTCGGAAGGGAAATAGATATGTCAGCAAGAAAACAAGTAATTTGCATTTGAGATGAACTTTTATGTGTTTCTTAGATCTATCTTCTATAAAGCTTATGAATATATTAGCAATTCTTCTCATAGTTTTAAAATAAGGACAATGGTAATTTCATGTTTGATGATCACAGGTGTTGGAGGCAATAATGCAAGTTAATAGTGAATAATGAAGATTACTCGTTTCCTACACATTAAGAGCTATTAACAACTCCTCTGAGACAGGCAATGGAAATTCTGTTTAATATCACTAACTGCTTAATCCATTGTTTAACAACTTGTCAATGGTTTGAGTAATATAAGAATTTGTTCATTCACCAATTAATACATATTTCACAAATGATGTATTTCACAAATGATGTGTTAACCTATTATATGTTTCTATTTATTATTTTGTGTTTCTATTTTCTATAATTTGGATGCTTTTTGTTTGTTTTTATTTTTTGTTTTTATTTGCTTTTTTTTTTGGGGGGGGGTTTTATTTTTACTTTTTTTTTTCTAATTGTGAGCTTATTTTGTGAGCCATTTGTTTTGTTTTTATATTAATATTAAGACCTATGACTTATTAAGAACTTCTCTGAGACAGGCAATGGGAATTTTGTTTAATACTGTATCACTAACTGCTTAATCCATTGTTTTACAACTTGTCAATGATTTGAGTATTTATAAAAATGTTTGTTGTTTTGGACTTTTCTAAATATATATTTGTTTTTTTTTAATATTATCATTTTCAATTCGTTTCTTTTTCATACTAATGAAATTCAAATAGTTTATCATATGCCTCACCTGATGAAGCTAACATTGCCAGCGGAGAAAGCTTGTGAATAAATTTTACTTAAATTTTAGTCACAGTGTTATCTATATTTATGTCTATTTTAAATGATAAGCTATTAATGCATTACAGTACCACTCTATGCTATGTAGTAGTACATCTTCATATGAACTAATTTTCCACTTTATATGATTTCAAACTTCTAACAAATGATTTCTTATGTTTACAAATTCACACACAGTCCTTTTTTTTTGTATTTATTAAGGTGAAAAGAATAGCTAACAAAATATTAATATAATAAAATATTTAACTTAGAAAAAAAAAATTATTAAATTTTTACAGAAGTATGAAAACAAATAAATTAATAAATTTAAAATTACAAATAAAAAAAAGGGGGAAGGAAGGGATGGGAAACATTAACAGAAAAATGTTAATTAACTATGTATTTATTCATTTGAAAAAATATTAATATAAGGCCAAAAAAAAAAAAAAATACTTGTTTAGCGTCACCACCCGACCCTGATTTTCTAGCCGCCTCTCTCTCTCTTTTTTTTTTTTGGTAAAAAATCATGAAAATCGACTAAAAATGCTGATATAGCGGAAAAAAGATCGTTTTTGGAAGATGTGAAGTGTGCCAACAACATTACAAGTGTTTTTTTCTGCAGAAAAAAAAAAATAGATTCCCTCACATGTACTTGTTGACAGAAATTGCGGACGATTTGATAGGTAGTACAGTAGGCGTACATGTTTTTATTTAGTTCTTTTTAGATAATAAACAATGTTTTGAATATGATAATAATAAAGTACTATGAAGAAAAATAATAGGTTACGACCTATGCTTCAATTGACAGATGTTTTAGGCCTCCTAAGTACTACCTAACTAGGCCTAGACCCCTAGTAGTATGGCTAGGCCTACCTGGCCTAGCCTAGCACTGCAGCAGTTAGCCTACGGAACCACAATGCCTATTAAAATAAACATTGTACAAAAAAATCTTTTATGTAAAATTTAGTGTCTGTTATGGCCTTTGTCAAAGATTTGGCTTGGCACCAATGCAGTTTTTGAAATCTCCAGGCCTAAAAAAAAATCCCCCCGCCCCCCCCCCCCAAAAAAAAATATTCTGAGGGTGTGACGCTAAACAAGTATATTTTTTTTTGGCCTAATAAAGTATTCATAAAATATTAATTATTAAACTGTTTCAGATTTTATAAGAAAAGATAAATATGAAAACAAATAAAGTAATAAAATTAAAAATTCCAAATTAAAAAAAAAAGTAGGAAGGGGGCGCGCCAGGGAAACATTAACAGAAATATATTTAACTTGATTATCACTTGCAGTATACCTTGGTTGTCCAACAACAACACAAAACGACAAGTTCAATAACATCAAGAACAACAACATTAACAACTACATTTTATCATCTGGTTGTTACGTCATAAGAGAGCTTAGTTGGTTTGTAACTTTTTTTCTGCATTATGATTCTTTAAGGTCATTTTGAATATTTATTGCTAAATCTCTCAACTCAGTAGGAAATAGCATATTGCAGTGACATATTACATAAGTATTATTATAAGATATCATTCAAAATTTCTAGAGCATATACAATGATGTTTTAATAGCACAATTTAGTGTTTATTTTCTGTTTTCAGAATAGTGTTAGGTGTTACTATCAAAATGTTTTTTTTTTTTTTCAGCTGAAACTTATAAGTTGAAGTGCTCCGTGCCAATCTATTTGTTTTTACATTTAGTTACACTAAACCAAATCAATCAATTTATTGGATCCACTGTTGATGCAGTCGCACTCATACAAAATGTATAGTGCATCCAAGAGACATACAAAAATATAGGAAATACTGTTAAATTGCCTTAAAATTTCAAAATAACAAGTAAAACAAAATACTTGAGGTACAGTACTAAAAACAATATAAATTACACTACTGAATTTTAAACAATTAGTTTAAACAGAAGTCAAAGGAGGAATTCTACTGTATTTTCTGGAAGTATGTGTGAGGTTTGTTTTAGTCATCTATTGTATCCTTCATGATATATAATACAACAATTGTTACCATGTCAGTTACCTGTCTCTGTATCAAATGTTGAGTTGCGTTTTGTGAAAAGTGCATCAGTCAATTATGTATTACTATACACTTTGTATGGTTTATTGGTAAACTATCTTGTCAAAAGCTTCCATGAGTCAAATGAACATCTTAACATAATAACATCATTACATTTATGGATTAAACGTTAAAACGCAAAAACTCACCTTTTTGAACGCCTTCCATGACCGGCTTTGATTTTCTCCTCGCCCTAAAACAAAAGCCATTGTCAAAATGAGGAATTTGATAAACATTTTAAATTTACATGAAATTTAAATATCACATAATTTTTCATATCACATTATAATATAATTTGCATATCACAAAGAAAATATATAATGTTAGAACCCAGCATTTATATACTGTGTTAGAACTTACATATTTATGTTCTCTAAGCATATTTATCTTTTAGTTAATTGGTATGGAGAGTTAGTTGTGTTTATCGAGTCACAAATTAGTCAAATAGAGGGTGTGGCTGAAGGTTTACCACTTCCCTTTTCTGCCGAGCTAGCCCAGGCCTTGGCCCTAGGCACTTCAGCTTGCCTCAGACAGCTTAACCTACAGCCCTGTCCAGACTATCAACTTTTTTTGACAAAACATATGACATACCTAAATATGGTCATGATGACATCACATCATGACCATATATAGGCACATCATGACTAAATATGGGCATATATCAGTTTGCTTTTTTTTTATTGTGATTGTCTGGACAGAGCTAAAAAAGTTAGCATACAGATAAGTACTTACCATGCATGTAATATGTAGAAAATCAAATACGGAAAATGCTTACATATTAATAATTTAACATGCATTAAAATTCCATGGGGACAAAAAAGAGAAGTTATTCCTGGAAAAACGATGTTTTTTGTCTGAATATAAATTTCAGATTGATGATTGAATTGTAAATGTGTTCTTGAAAATGCATCCAAACAGATCACTATGGTGATCTATATGCATGATTGAGAATGTTTAATTTTTTGAAACTTTTAAAATTATTAAAAAATTAACATAGTGCAAGTAATGGAGCATATCACGCTAATGGAAGTACAATGCGATTAAACTAATTGAAGATGCATCTTCAAAAGAAATCATTATGATGATAGCGTTTTAATTTAATGTTTTAATGTGTCCAGCAGAAATGGGATCAAAGAGAAAAATACATATAGCTGTCAACACTATGAAATTTGATGTGAGAAATAAAAGTGATATGCCCATATTTGGTGTGTTATGAAATAATTATGCCTATATATAGCCACATAATAAAAATTTGTCACAAAAAAATGTGATAGTATAGACAAAACTTTAATGAGGTTTAGAATTTAAGATAATAAGTTTATATGTGGATTTTATATTAATAACACTGATTCTCTAGGCCTAGTAACATTCATTAATTATTTTATATTTTGTACATGAAAAATCTGGAAAAATTTTTCAACGAAAACATTTAATATCTCATTAAAAGGATCAAATGAGTTATCAAATCCACAAGAGACACATATATCAGCCCCGATTTCACTGATTTACAGACTTTTTACTACAAAAATCCTTTAATTGATTACCAGCCAAAGTCAGCGTATATGTAAAGTAGGAATGACATCATTTATGTATAAAAAGCTCCATTGCAGCCCAAAAATTCATGGAAAAAAAAAAACTTTAAAAATGTGAATGACTTTAATAATAGTAAATGTAAGAGAATCAAGTTATCAACACATAAACATAGTAACTTAAGTTTTCAATAGGTTGGAGTTTTCAGTTGATGGACCTCATCTCTGTGCAAGCCCCAACTCAGTCTGCCTTAATTTTTTGTTATATGTGTGTGCGTGTGTTTTTAATGTTTAGCATTTGAAAAGGAATAAAACAAGTTCTCGTAATCATTGGATCTAAAAATGTTTTCATTCTACTAATTTCATGTCTGTATACTCACAATTACATACAAGAGTTTGAATATGAAATTAAAATGGTAGTTTGAAAGAAATTACGCATTTGATCATGCGACAAAATCAGGTACGAAAACCATTTAGACTCAGTTACGTCATTCGGCCAGTCTGTAATTTATGAGGTTACAATTGTTTTGGTACAAATTTGGTGTTGGATTTTCAATGAGTTTGTGAGTCAGCAAACTGACAGATGCACAGGGTAAAAACATTGTTGATAAAAGGTTATTAACATGAATGTAAATCTAGGTTAAGATGGGAAAGATTTGATAAACAATGATTCATTTAAAAAAAAAAGTACATTTTAAAATACAAAAAAAAAGAAGAAAAAACATACTGTTTCTGTTGAGCTTAAACAATTTAGTTACTTTCAATTAAATAAAAGAAACTAAATATTTTTTTTCATTTGATAGGATCTTAAATTTAGGATCTATTATTAATATTATTATGTTCTTTTATGCTATATAAAGCCAATTAAACTTCAATTGATAGCTGAACATTATTACAATAAACTTTCTATACATAATTTATTCTTATTATCATTTTATTTATACTCTTATATTTTTTTATTCCTATTTTTTAAAATTTGTATTATTCTTTTCATTTATATGGTACAAATTAACATTTAATATGAAATAAGAATATTTTTAGATTATTATTATGATCTCTATTACCAATCACTTGACGAAAAAAAAGCTAAAATTATTTAGTTTATTGCTACATTTCGTGCACAACCCAATGAAAATCTTCAAAAACAATTAACTGTCTGAATTATTAAGTTTTTTTTGTTTTTGTTTTTTTTAAATATCTAGTGCTTTAAGTCCCTTAAACATAAAATTATATTTCATTGTATGTATAGTTCGCTATGGATATTAACAGTAATTTTATGCGTGTATCTGAGATTTGATAGGTGATAAAATACAACTGACATAATAAAACTGAACTTTAAAATACACTGACAGATACGCAAATGCTAGTGCTTTAAGACTATTAAGTTTCACCGTTTACCCCTGAACAAGAATTCTAAACCTCTGATCCAATTCCAGGATTATACATGGTTATGGGAACGAAGAATGGGATATCCCTTTGGCTTAATCAAGATGAGCACATACAGAATACAAATGAAGTACATTAACAGACACAATAATTGATGCATGGATTACTTTAACATCTCGCCTCAAAGGACTCGGATAGAATCACAGCCGTAGGACAATGTAAATCATCACCGATCTTGAAAACTAGACAACAATTTTCCAAAACTGGACTGTTTCCGAAACAAAGCCTACGACGGGGGAATACACACATCACCTTTCCGTCAGTAATCATCTAACAACCATGATATACGAGCGATTGGTGATTTGTTATAAGCCCCTTGCGGACTCCATCTTGGATTCCCCGGTTATTACCGCACAGGTTCAAGGTACGATGGTCTGACACAGGACAACCAGTGACAATTTCCAAATTTATAGCATATTCACGAATAGGCAGCGACCAAATATGGGCATACGTTGCGATTTATTTATCCTCGTTATGTAGGGCTTGTGGCATGCTTTTAGCAACAATAATTCTCAATACATTAACAAATCTGATGCTTCAACGTGTAAATTATTACATACCAAAAAAAGTATTATACTATAAACCTACCTATATAGATTATATAATACTACTATTTTTTTTTCTAATAAAACTAAATAACTACATAAAAATCAATTAATATATACATTCTTAATTAGATAATAATACTATTATTAAACACAAATTATTATATTATACATAACCGCTGAAAATTTATGACTATTGGTGTCATACTATAAAAGATCTATTAAACCTTTTATAATGGTTAATAAACTATGTAAAATTTAAATTATTTAATTAAATGATGTACTTTAGCTTATTAAATTCTTACTGATGCCAGCTAGGAAAACACAATAGACCACCGGTTTGCAAAGAGTCAATAACCTACTGCCGGTTGGGGTGTTTTAAAGTCACTGTACCTCATAATATGTTCTTACATTAAATAATTTAGTTATTTTACATTTATATATTTTATAAATTTTGGATAGTGTATTTCTTGATAAATTGTAAATTGTACTTAAATTTGAACATTCTAATGATGAATATGTAAAAGATTTATGCTAAAAAGGATATTAAAATAAAAGAATAAAAAATGGACAATATTTAAAGAAATTAATATTTTGAATAAAAAAACACAAATGAAAAAATCTTATATCTTGTATCTTATCTTTCAATTAAAAAACAGAATTTTATACAACAGATATTAATTAAAAAAATTGTAATTAATAAGAATGAATACCAATTAACATACCTTTAACAAGGTTAATTTGCATATTAAAAGTATTAACAATACATTTGTAAAGAAACTTCCTATATAATAATAAATAAATAATTATTATTACATTAATAATGAGAAATAAAATATCAATTAATATTACATATTACATATATGCATATTATCGGATATGCTCTTTTGTGATTTGATTTGTTTATGTGCATTTGTTTCTGTTGTATTTTTTAAAGAGCATATTAAATAAATCAAATCAAATCAAATTAAAATATCAAATTATCTATACAAATTAAATACTAATTAATGTAATTATACTTATTATGAGAAATAAAATATGAACATATTAAATAGTTATAAAGCATTAAAAATATAATAAAAAAAACAAACTTTCTATATAATATATCAAATAGGTATTAACATAAATTAATTATATTAATAATTAATGAGAAATAAAATATAAATATCAATTAATATTACTGAGGCTAATCTACATTAAATCATCAAATTATTTAAAAATACAAATTAAATACTAATTAATGTAATATTAGTTATTATAAGAAATAAAATATGAATATCAATTAAAATAACCTTAATGGGTTTAAGCTTACATATTTTAAAAAGTTATAAAGCATTTAAAATACAATAAACAGACCTTCTATATAATATATTAAATAGATATTAACAGAAATTATTTATTATATTAATAATTAATGAGAAATAAAATATAAGTATCAATCAACATTACATTAATGAGACTAACCTGCAGATAACAAGTTATCAAATTATTTAAAACCTACAAAATTAATAAGCCTTTTCTTATCAATTCCAAAACAATAGCTAATAAGTAATGCTATCAATGAAATCCAAATTTGTTGAAACTAATGCTTAAGTTTGTGTTATAAACAAAGCAAGCCTGCCTAATAATAATAGAAAAAAAATATGTCTAAAAATCTGCAAAAATGGATATGA